CCGGGGCAAGGGAAACAAGATTTGGCTTGGTGTGTATCGGCTGGATCCCCTGCTGAGCTGGCAGGAGCCATAGACCCTGCCTAAAGGGCCCTGGGCTGGGACCAAGTGGAGAGGGAGGGCCCGGGTCCCCCTACCACCCGTTTTCCCCTTCCCAGGACAAACAAACCCCGGGCCAGGGGAGGCTTCTTAGAGCGACTAGGCCTTGGCTACCGTATATGCCCTGATAGAAGGGCCGGGACTTTTGTGTTGACACTTTGCTACCGTATATGCCCTGATAGAAGGGCCAGGACTTTTGTGTTGAGACTTTTGCTACCGTACATACCCTAATAGAAGGGCCGGGACCTTGGCCTAGGGACTCTGGAGTACTGTATAGGCCCGGTCGGAGGGGGCTGAGCCCCTGGACGGGGGCGTACCCCTTGACACTCCCCTACGTAAAACACACACTATATGTGAGGCTGAACTATGTGAGAGGAAGGTTTTTGGTGGGTGTTGAATGCAAAGGCTGTGTATCATGTGGATGGAGATTTGTGTTTCATGTGAGTCTTCATGTTGGACCCTTGGTCCAAGCTCAGTCTAACTTTATTCCTGGTTTCAGTTGTCCTAACTTCTTGTTGGAGGGTCTCTGTTCCACCTTCCTTAGTGGGATGGTAGGAGTCTCTGAGGCTGTGTCTAGACTGGCCAGTTTTTCTGGAAAATCAGCCGCTTTTCCGGAAAAACTTGCCAGCTGTGTCCGCTTGAATTTCCACAAAAGCATTGACTTCCTACTGTAAGAAATCAGTGCTTTTTGCGGAAATACTATGCTGCTCCCGTTCAGGCAAAAGTCCCTTTTGCACAAAACTTTTAACGGAAACTTTTCTATTAAAAGCATTTCCGGAAAATCATGCCAGTCTAGACTTAGCCTAAAAGTCCCTCCTTTCCACGTCGTCAGAATAGGAAGTCAAGGCCTGATTACACAGATCCCTTTGTGACATCTCTGGAAAATGTCCTACCTGGCTCTATCTTGGGTTCTTTACCTCAGCCTCTTTCTGTGCCTCTGATGTACCTGCTCCACTTTCTCTAAGGTTCTCCCACCTTTTCTGTTATCCAACTGGTTCTGCTGCCAGAGAAGTTTTTCTCCGTTTACCTTTTGTGGCAATACCTGACTTAGCTGGACTCTTCCTTCTCCCTGCAAGCCCCTCCACACAGAATCCTGGGCAGACTCAGTTCCTGTCACTTTCTTTCCCAGTTGCCTTGGGCTCCCTGTTGCAGAAATACCTTTGTTTTAGGAGTCTCTGTCTGCTAGCTCAGCCACTCAAGTTCCTGACACTCACCCAACTTTTCTGCTTGATTGAGAGGTGGAAAACTGCCCTTCTTCCTGGTTATGCCCTAACTGAGCCATGTTCAGCCCTTTAAACTCTTTTCTCCAGGTCAGATTCTTAGATGTATAGAGGTGAGACCAATTGCACCGCAGGCTCTCATTCACTCTCTCAGGCCCAGTGTGGACTAGGTACAGCCTATGACACAGAGAAACACCTGAATCTGTCATCAGTTTCTCCTCCTAATGGAAACAAACTGCTACACCTTAAGTATTGGCTAACTGCTCAGGTCAAAAGAGGAAACAATAACAATAAATGACATTTATGTAGTGTCTTTCAACCCAAATTTTCATAGAATTTACAATAGTTAATTCCCACCACATCCTTGTCAGGTAGGTAGATATTATACTCCTGGGTGTGAACACGTGAACAATGAGACCAATACCATAATATGACTAAATATGGAGGCCAATTCTTCAGTGAAACAAATTGCCAAGAAGGAGATATCCTCTTCTACCTCAGATTGCCCAGGAGGGCTGTTCTAGTGAAGAATTCAACTGGCAACTAATGTCCCTAGGTCCCATACACCTGAGGTTGGGCATAGAGACATTGGGCCTCTTTGCACCATGCAGCCTGTCCTGGAACTTTAAGTCCCAGCCCATTCCTCAACTTCCTATAGGAGGTAGGATGAGATAGGATGAAAGGGAGCTGTTACACAAGCAAATCTAGAGCAATTCCACTGATGTTGCTGAAGCTACTTCAGCTTTATATTGTTATGTCTAAGCTAGATAGATATGCATACATGTGTGCTTCTGGGAAAATAAGATTCAATATCAAAATAAAATATACTCTAATTAGAAAATGTGGGTATTATAAGACTTATATGAACAGAATTAACTGGTTTTCAAGTGTTAGTCTGTATAGTGGCTGAATTGTGATACTCTTAAGTATACAGAGTTTGTGATGACCATGCAAACCTTAGAAATAGAAACTTTTAGGGTTCAGACTCAACTTGTGAAATGCATTTACACTGCTCATGTGTTCATGATGAGGTTTCCATCTAAGGGTGGGCTTACACATGGCATATAAAAAAAAGCCTTGAACTAAAATTGTGGGCTAATTCTCGGTTGGAGGCAAATAGCATAGCTCAACTGAGCAAAGGATCAAGCCCAATATTATGGAGATTTAAAACAAAACCAAACAAAACAAATAAGGAAACTGCCACTCATTACCCATCCAGATTAAAATATAATAGACAAAAATATGTTTTCTGGATTTCTTCATGAATCATTATGGGAACATCAGTAATACCGGTGGCAAAGGCCTTTGTTGGTAGGATCCCAGTGCCTGAGTTCTGTTGCCCTCAGAGCATATTTGAAATATAGCTCTTGAATTATTATTATTGTTATTAACAAAGTGCACGCATTCTCAAGAGCTTTTCTTTGGCTAGCAATAAGAAAAAAAAAGATATCTTGGCATTGGAAAAAGTTCTGAAAAAGGAAAAAAGAAAAAGATTTGGGGTATGAAACTGTCATATGAAGAGAGATCAATATGACTGGGACTTAGTCATCTCTTTTTCAAGATGAAGAGTGACAGGGGATGGATCACTTCATGATTACCTGGTCTGTTCATTACCTCTAAGGCACCTGGCATTGACCCCTGTCAGAAGACAGAATACTGAGCAAAATGGACCGTTAGCGTGACTCAGTATAGCTATTCTTATGTTGAAATATTTTCCCATTAGGAACATAATGGGACATTGTGACTCATATAGTAGACCCCGTTTTCTGGTACTGTTTCGTTCTCTTCTTCGTAAGTTGGAGGCAATAATTCAAGGATAATTTTCATCTATCCTTAGATGTCTGTTCAGAAGAAACAAGGAACCTCACTACATTAAGTCTATTTATAATTATAATCCTTGCGTGCAGAAGTACCCAGGAATATTTCATCTCCAATACTACAGGGGTGCATGTCATTCCCAAAAGGGAATGAGCGGGAAGAAAGATCTGTCCTCTAAAACACAAGCCAATGGAGCTGGCTAGCCACATAGGATTTGGAAGCTGCAACTCACAATAAGGCAGAGTATCAAATAGGCAACCTTCACATATTCCTGAGACACCAAAACACAGGTTGTTGAAGACTTCCTTGTTTACTCTCTAAGGTGGGATTTATCTGTCCTACTTCTTTTTATGGGTGATGTGTGAATGGCTTGAAATGGTCCACAGGATTTATTTTAATTCTTATTTAGGAAATGAGATTTGGGCATTTTTTAGTGCTGATTCTCCAAAGTGAAGCACAACACTAAAAATGATCACCAGTGACTTAAACTTTGTTCATCTGTCAGAATAGAGAATAAAACTCAAAATAAATTTTCCTTTGAACAGTATAAATCTAGGGTGGTGAGCTCAAAAGGACGATAAAACTAAGGTCAGTTTCCAATCTAGCATATATCTGCCCCATCTTGGATTGCTACCCTATGGCTGCAGCTACACTGGCATGATTTTGCGCAAATACATTTAACGGAAAAGTTTTTCCGTTAAAAGTATTTGCGCAAGAGAGCGTCTACACTGGCATGTGCTTTTGCGCAAAAGATGTGCTTTTGCACAAAAGCATCCGTGCCAGTGTAGACGCTATCTTGCACAAGAAAGCTCCGATGGCCATTTTAGCCATCGGATTTTCTTGTGCAAGAAATTAACATTGCCTTTCTACACTGGCCTCTTGCGCAAGAGGGCTTATCCCTGAGCGGGAGCGTCAGAGTATTTGCACAAGAAGCACTGATTTCGTACATTAGAACGTCAGTGTTCTTGAGCAAATACTCGCGGCGAGTGTAGACAGGCGGCAAGATTTTGCACAAAAGCTTTTGCACAAAATCTTGCCAATGTAGACACAGCCTATGGGAGTGAAGGTAATGGGAAAACATTAGGCTTGGGAACTTAAAAGTGAACTGGATAAAACACAATACCATTTATGGAGTTAACACAGAGAGAAGG